GAGAAGGGATCCATAGGCTGCCCAAAGATTACATGACACAAAAAATTTAAGGCAACTCCCTCATTTTACAAATGTGGAGACTGAGGCTCCAAAGGGGAAGGTGATTTGTCCAAGGTCACACAGGTAGTTAGTGGCAGAACTGAAATGCCTTAGAAACTAGATGCTTGTGAACATCCTGACTTCCTTCCCTCTCTAACCTCGCTATCACCTGTGGTTTGGCTCACTTCCATGTGGGTCGACTTCAGCGGGAAATCTTCTGAGTAGCCAGAGTACTTTTGGGAAATAACTTGAAATCTCAGGCCCTCCAGTGTCCAGGTTTGAGAATTCAGAAGCTCCTCACCTGGGGCTCCCGGAAAACACCCAGAAAGAAGGCGAGGGGAGCTGGCAGCAGCTTCTCTTTGAGTACTTGTCTTCCTTCTAAGTTTAGTTCTCTTCTCACACCAGCCTTGCAGGACGGGTGAGGCCTCCATGGGCCAGTGAAGGCAGCCTGCTGGGCATCTCCTGAAAATCCAAAAGCTTTCCACAGAAGAGCAATGTCTCCTAGTGCCTAGAGCACTGGCCTGAGGGTCAAAAGCCCGGCATTTGAGTCCTGGCTCTGCCCACTATTAGCTGGGCAACTCCCAGAAAACCACTTTAGTTCTTTGGCCTTGAGTTTATCATCTGTAAAATGGGGATAATAACGCCCCATCTCTCAACTTCACAGCCTTTCTAGTAAGATCAAATAAGGCAAAGAATGTCAAAGCACTTTGTAGACCATGAAGTGCTGTTCAAAGGTAAAGTATTACCAAAAGTATGACTTTAGCAAGGAGGCAGCCAGGGGATGAAAAGTGGAAGCTAGGGAATGGATTTCTTCATTTTGATTTATTTTAGCAAAACATGTAAGCAGTAAAGAAATCTCATATAGTTTTGATTCCTTAAATTCACAGACTGTTAGAGCAGGAAGGGACCTAAGAACACAGAATTTTCGATTTATAAGGGAACAGAGAACACAGAATGCTAGAACGTAGAACACTAGAGCTGGACAGGATCTTAGGACACAGAAAGGGGGGGCTAAATTATGGGAATGGAACACGTTTGTCTGTAAGAAATGACAGAAGGGATGGTTTCAGAGAAACCTGTGGAGACTTGTATGAAATGATGCAGAATGAAGTGGGCAGAACCAAGAGAATAATTTCTACAATAACATTCAAAGAAAAAGCAACTTTAGCAGACTTTACGAAGTCTGAACCATGCAGTGAACTACCACGATTCCAGAACACTGAGTCCAGAACACCTGTTGCCCATCTCCTGACATCAAGATGATGGATTTGGTGAAGAACAAGACATATATCGTTGCACACGGCCAATGAAGGAATCTGTTTTGCTCAATTATTTCTTTTGTTTTCCATTGGGAGAGGGCAGGTGGAAGGGAGAGAAAATAGCTTTTCGTTAAATGAAAAAAAACATTTTAAAAATAGTCAGGGTGAGCAGAATCTAGGGCAGGGCCTCGAGGCTGCAGGTTCCCCACCCCCGATCGAGGGTATAACGACCAAGGCTTTTTCCCAGGGCACCAAAATCCAGGGAAATCCGCCAACCAACCAGCCCACAGCTTCAAGTATTTCCCATGCTCTTGTTGTTGTTCAGTTGTTTCAGTCGAGTCTGACTCTTCACGACCCATTGGGGATTTTCTTGGTAGAGATACCAGAGTGGTTTGCCATTTCCTTCTCCAGCTTATTTTAGAGATGAGGAAACTAAGGCAAACTTGCCCAGGGTCACACAGCTAGTAAGTGTCTGAGGCCGGATTTGAAATCATAAAGTTCTTGAATTCCTGAAGAACTCATAAAGGCCTGGAGTCAGGCCTGACACTCTGTGCACTGTGGTGCCACCTATCTACCCTTGGTCCCATGCCAAATGGCACCACAAAGGTACCACCCCTCTTTCCTACGGTCCACCTTCCACTGCTAAGACTCCTAGTATTTACCTCACCCTTCCAAGCATGTCACTGAGATCACATCCACCCAGAGCAGGCTGACCTCTTTGTACCCCGCCATGACTCACATGCCCTTCTCTTTGTCCTTCCCAAGGATATTCCAACCAAAGCACCGTATGACTGACCTGGGGAACTCTGCACTCCCTCCTCCCCAAATGACTTGTCCTACATGTAAGAATTCCTAACGATGGCCCTAGTTAAGACATAGTACATGAGAACTATAGAATGGACTTTAAAACAAATTCTCTTAAAACTGAGGTGGGGCGTGCCCTTAGAACACAAAATACTGGGGCTAGAAAGCATTTGGGGGCCACCTAGTCCAACCCCTTCATCTTACACATGAGAAAATGGTGACCTAGAAAGGAAGAGTTTAGGAAAAATAACTTGTTCAAGGCCATACAATTATTCTTAAGGAGCATCTGGGACTGGGGTCTTGCCTACTGTCCCAAGTGATCTTAGCAGGATGATGGTTGTAAAACACGTTAATGAGGGATCAGAAGTCATCTGGGGAGGAGGGGAGGGCATAAATAAGATGGTGATTCCTACTCCCAACATGGCAAAAAGATGAGAAAGAAAGAGACTTCTCATAGGGAGTAGCTCCTACAGGAGAAAAAAAAGTAGAGAAAGGGCCTCGGTTTCCTCCTCTGTAAAAAGAGGAGAGTTGGAGATCTAAAGCGAATTCCCCAGGATTTCCTCGCTTTCTTGCTGCCCCCTACTGGTAGAATCAGTGAAGTTCCTTTTTTTTTGGACAACCAAGTATCAGTGAAATATAGTGATCCTAAAGCCTGGAATTAGAGACAAAGGGAGACAGAAGGAGAAGGGTGGCATAGGGCCACCATTGAAGTAGGGCAGTCACCCTGCTCTAGGTATAGCTGTGACTCCAAAAGAGTAAATGAAAAAAAAAAAGAAATGGAGATAATGGATGACTTTATTGAAGTAGTGGGATAAGGATAAAAATCACCTGTGTTTTCAAATTACGCCACCAAAAACCAAGAAAAACTGATACATACCCTGCAAATAATGACAAAATATATCAAATGCTGGGCACTAACTTACCGTGATGCACAAGAGACCTGTACAATGCCAACCTCAAAGCTTCTCACAGAAATCAACAGGGAAATGAACAGAGGAGGTATCCCCTGGCTGTGGTCAGGTTGAGTCAAAAATAATAACATACCAACAGGTGATTGTAATGGAATTTGTCCCAGTCGTGTAACAAAATTCATATTTTTAAAGAGATGGCCAAGAATATCAAAAACAATGAAAAATAAAACTGGAGGGAGACTAGGCACTACCAGATTCCAAAATGTGTGATAAAGCAATACTTATGAAAGCTGTTAAGAACTGGGGAGATTTACTGAAAAGAGATTAACTGAATAGAGAGCCCAAAGACTAAAAAATGTCAGTTTTCTAAGATTTTTCCAGACAGGTGGGTGATTTCATCAGTACGGAGAGCTACCAGGGTCAGACGCAAAGCAGGCCTCTCCTCTGTAACCCACCCAGCCTTTGAGAGCTGCCCAAGGCACTAAGAGGTTAAATAAAAAGTGCCTGAGGGCCCTGAGTTATTTAGTGGCAAGGCCAAGATTTGAACCCAGATCATTTCACTCCAAATCAAATTGTGCTTTCCACTGTATTTCAAGGTCACAGTATCTTAAAGCTAGGTGGGACTTTAGAAAGTAGGTTAGACTTTAAAGAGCATTATGACCCTACCCCCACCCCCATTTAAAAAATGAGAAAACTGAAGCCCAGAGAAGGGGAATTTAATTGACTAAGGCCACACAGACAGTGGAAGACCAGGAAGTAGAACTCATATTCTTCCTTTCCATCAATGGCTCTTCCCACTGTATCATAGTAAATGACTGGCAGCATCCTGAAGGGGAAATGTCAAGGAAAGACAGGAAATCTGAAAGAGACAGATATAGGTAGCTGGAGAAGAATAATACCATAAAATGATGAAGAGATATAAAATATTATATAAATGACAAAATATGACAAATTTAGATAAGGACTTTAACCCCTAAAAGGGTCATCCCCATTTTCTCAGACCTTGTCTTTTTCTTTTTTTGTCTTTAGGGTTTTTTCCTATTTGTTCATGCGTGTTTTTGGAAACAGGGTCTCCTTCTCTTGCCCAGGCTGGAATTGTAGCAGCCTGATGCCAATAGTGATTGGCATAGAAGATATGGTGCTAGACTCAAGTCTGCTTCAGCTCAGAACTCCTAAACTCAAGTGATCCATGGCCTCAACCTCCCCAGCAACAAAGACTACGGGCCAGTGCCACTTTGTACAATGGAGCAAACAGAACAGAAGAATATCTTTCCCGAGATTTAAGACATTTCAATCTCACTTTATACAAAAAAAAAAAATGAAACCTTTAAAAAAGTGTACTCACAGCTACATGGAGTACACTGCCCTCTGGTGTTCAAAACAAAGGACAAATAGTTAAATAGAAAATATTTAAATGAGTGTGTATACATATTTACATTTATTTGCATTTTATATCTATAATATACATTTTATAGACATCAATATTACATATGTTGCATGTGTGTATATATGTATTTATAGGTACTTTAATTGGCTTTATAAACGTTAACTATTGTTATTATTTTAGCTTCAAGATCCAAGTAGTAATAATTTGTTTGAAGAATTCTAAAATTTTGGAGCTGAATGTTATCTTGGAATGTTGAATGTTAGAACATATAATATCACAGATAGAAGGCTTAGGATTGAAAGGGACCTTAGAACAGAGAAAGTTAGAACACAGAAGGTTAGAACATAGGCCATCAGAACTGAGGAAGATCTTAGAATATAGAATGTCAGATCTGGGAGGGATCTTAGAATATAGTAAGTCAGAGCTGGGAGGGACTTTAAATATCCTCTGACCATTAACACCTTCACTTTACAGATAAAGTGACTGAGGCTCACAGAGATGCAGGGACATGTCTAAGGATACAGGAATAGCTCCCATGAATAAGCTGATCATGCTAAAATCCTGAATAAAAGTAGGAAAAGTCAAAAATAGCATCTTTACCAGTTTACAATAAAATCTTTTGCTTTGACTGTTAAATCCTTTTCTTTCTGAATCCGGGATTATTATGGTCCGAAATTTATAAGGAATGGATGATTGCTTTGGATATGCTCCAGTGTAACCTAAATGATTAAAAAAAAAAAAAGGACATATTTTAAAAAACATAAAAAGATGAATTGGAGAATGGAGGAAATGGAGTTCTGAGATCAAGATTTCTTTTCAACAAGACACTGGCCTAGGACTTGTGAAGAGGGATTAAATAAACCCTTACAGGGGTACCTCTTTCAAAATCTGTTCATACACATTCAATTCAATACCAAACATTTATTAAGCATCCAATGTGTACAGAACAATCCACTCAGCAGGGAAGATACCAAAAAAATCAAAATGTCCCTGATTTTGCTCCTCCAGCTTAAAGCTTGAGCGGCAGCACCAGACAAGGGCCATTTCTTAGGCCCCATCACTGGCACATTCTCGTAACCAGCCTACGCTGAAGCATCGTGAATGACAGAACCTCAGAGTCCACAAGAGAGCTCAGAGGCATCTGGTCAAATACACACCTGGAAAAGGATCCCCTTTAAGTCCTCCCCAACAAGCGGCCATCCAGCCTTTGCTAGAAGACCTTCAGGGACAGGCAGCCCATTCCACACTGGGACAGCATATGGTGTGTTGAGAGGTTATAATATGCATCTTCACTGCTTCTACTCATTACTCTTGGTTCTGCCCATTGGGCCAAGTAGAACCCTGAGACAAATGCTTAAAGACCACCATGAGGTTAGTTCCACCATCCTTTTGAAGGGCCACAGTAAAATGTCTGTTCAGCCGAGACGCAAATTATCACACTGTTCTTATGAAATTAACTACCCCCATATAAAGCTGTTCATCCAATATGGTGTTTTTGAGGAAGAAACAAATGGCATCAGGTGGGGCGTTGTCCTTCCATCAGCCTGAGGCAGCAATAGCTTAAGGAAAAGGGAGCTCACCAGTGCTTGGCCTACAAGGGTCTGGATTTCAGCCCTGGCTCCAACACACCGGCTGGATGATTTCCTTCTGGGCCTCAATTTCCTCCTCCACGTAAGGCTTTTTTTGAGAACCTCCTGCTCTTTGGCTGGTACATGTTAATCTCCTATACTGCCCGTATTTTGAGTCCCCAGAAAGATGGAAAGTATCAGACTGAGGAACCTCAAGGGATCCCAGTAAACAGAGCAAAAGAGGTCACACAAGATGTCCTGCAACCAAAGGACCTTGAAGAGGACAACAGAGTATAGCATACCCTTTGAACTCACTATATTACTGCTAGAACTAGACCCAAAAAGAAGGCAAAGAAAGAGGAAATGGTCCTGTAAATACAAAAACATTTAATGCAGCTTTTTTGTAGTGACAAAGAACTGGAAACTATGGGAGTGTTCATCAATTAGGAATGGCTGAACAAATTACGGGATTCAAATGTGATGGAGCACTGCTATGCTATAAGAAATGATAAAATAGATGATTTCAAGGAGATATGGAAAAATCATGAACAGATGCAGAACCGTTAAGAAAATATAGGCAATGGTAGCAATATTATCAAAATGAACAATTTTGAAGACTTGTTTAAGTTGATGAAGAATGAAATGAGCAGAACCAGGAGAATGATTTGCACAATAACTACACTATAAAGACAAACAACTTTGAAAACCTTAAGAATTATGATCGATCCAGTGACCATCCACGATTCCAGAGGACCAAAGATGAAGCATTCACATCTTGAGAGAGAAGTGAGGGATTCAGGGTACAGAAGGAGACATTTTTTGGCCATGGCCAATGAGGGAACTTTTTTTTACTTGACTATGCATATTTATTACAAGGAATTTGTTTTTCTTTTTCTTTTTTGGAAGGAAGAGAAAATAGATTTCTATTGGTCAAAAAACCCTTTAATTTAAAAAAAGGAGGGAGGGAGGACAACATGGAGTTTTAGGTCTTTCTACCAATCAGGATTCTCTCTTTCCCTATTCTGTAATCTCCATTCTCAGTAATTCAGCTAGTAGTGACACTAGAGAAAATAGTAAGAAAGAAGTAAATACATGGGCTGCCCTAGAAAATCACCAGAGGAGAAGACAGTGGAAGGCAAATGCAGTGAGCTGATAAAAGTGCCCTCCCTTACCCAGTCTCCCCACCCCCGACAAAGACAAAAAGACAAAGACAGGTCAGGGCCCTGAAAATGCCTCCCGATTTTTTTTTAAGCCTTCCTATATATCTATGGAAGACTGGACACAGAAAGATGAGGAGGAGTTAAAATTTCAGACTGTCTAGTAGTTGCCACACTGCACCATCTGGATGACTAGTAAAAATAAACAACTTGGGGGGGCTCAGGAACTATGGGTTTCAAGTGGATGTTGACCCACCAAGTGCTTCAACACAGGGTATCCATATATGAAAGATGGGTACCCTGTTACAATAATAACAGTTCACATTTCTACAGCACTTCCCCAAGTCTACAAAGTTCAGCAGAAGCCAGACAAAATAACACGCTCAAAGTTACAGAGCTAGAAAAGGGGAAAAGCGACTCAAATTCTGGTCTTCTGTCACCGAGTCCAAGGGCTCTTTCCTTTGCCAGTTCATACCCCTGCTCCAAAAGCTTCCCCATCATCTCTAAAAAACCCATAAACTTCTTTATTTAATATTTAAAACCCATCACAATCTCACTGCAGCATACTTTTCCAGGCATGTTACACATTATTCCCTCTCATGCACTCCATAGTTTAGCCAAACTGGACTACCAGCTCTTCCTAATCCTTTGTGCAGGCGGCATCCTGTGCCTGGCTCTTCCCCTCTGGTTCTTGCATCCATAACACCCTTCAAGGCTCAGCTCAAGTACTGCCTCCTTTAAGAGCCCTTTCCTGACTCCCCTCCCCCAGATCACTGGGCATTGGTTTTTATACATCTTAGAGTCATTACTTGTTTCCCCCAAGTAAAATGCCTGCTCCTGGAGGGTCCAGACCACCTCAATTTCATATTTGTATGCCTAATGCTTCATTCACGGCAGTTGCTTGATATTTGTTAACTGATAATATACCACGATGAGCCAATAACACTTAAATTAGAAATCCCATGAAAGGAGCCGGCTCAGTCTCCGCAGGTGCACACGAAGCACACAGAGCCAGAGACGGATGAAACATCTACCAATTCCATGTGTGATTCCGGCGGCTCTCTTATTTCACCCAAGTGAATGAGCCCCACCAGAAAATCCCAGTCCTGCCCACTGCTTTATGCTAGCGATCCCTTCCTCTACACAGTATTTTTCATTTTACAAAATACTTCACATACATTATCGTGTTTGAGCCTCACAACACACCTAAGAGGTAGGTGATGCCAGTATCATTATCCTCTCTTAGTGATGAGGAGAATGGAGCTCAGGGGAAGAAATGCCCGGCCAGGAGTCACACAGCACAAGTGGTAGGATGGGAATTGGAACCCATGGAGCCTCCCTCCATGTTCAGCTAGTGCTCTGTGTGTGTGTGTGTGTGTGTCTGTCTGTCTGTCTCTCTGTTTCTCTCTCTCTCTCTCTCTTTCTCAGAGATTACTACAAAATTGATTGTCAGTGCTGACAATGGTTATAAATGCTGGTACAGGGTGCTTAGCACATGAGGACCCAGGGCAATTAACCCTGTGTGCTCCCACCCCATTTTACTCCCAACCATCCCCTACTTCCACAATGAAATCATGTCAAACAGAATGTATGCTCCTTGAGGGCAGGGGTGGATCTAAAAAACAAAAATTATTGTATCCCCAGTGAGGGCAGGTAGGTAGCTCAGTGTATAGAGTACCAGGACTGGAGTCCTGACCTGAGTTCAAATGTGGCCTCAGGGACTTACTAGCTTTGTGACCCTGGACAAGTCGCTTAACCCTATGTACTTCAGTTCCCTCATATACAAAATGAACTGGAGGAGGAAATGGCAAACCACTCTATCTCTGCCAGTAAAACCCCATATGGGATCATGAAGACTCAAACATAATTGAAATGGCTGAACGACAATTCCCAGTGCCTCACATGGTGCATAGTAGGTGCTTACAAATATCTGCAGAATTTAATTCAACTGAATAGAAATTGACATAACGTTTCAGCCTATGTGAGATATGTGTATGTGAAATAAATAGTACAGGGATAGACAATCTATCACAATTTTCCCAGCTAAAAATGGGTAAGGGGAGGGCAGCCAATTATTAATATAAGCCCTTAATTTTATTTTAGGAAGACCATCTGCTATGGCAGGCAACCAACTCCGGGCTCCTGCTGCATCTCCAGCCTCTTTGCATCCCTGACCAGCCACTAGGACCTACAGTTTGGGAGAAAAGAACAAAAGAACTGGACCCAGGGCAAAGGCTCCTATTTATCCTGGCCAAGGGAGTGCTCTGCAGACACTGCACAGAATCACTTTGTTGCCACAAACACGTACAAAGCATTTACAAACATTTACTAGGGCTTAGGACACAAGAGTGGAAAGATATAGTTGCTACCCTCAACAAGATGCAAAAGACCAGAGATGGAAAAGATCATAAAAGTACAGAATATTAGGGTTAGAAGGAGCCTTAGAACATGGAGTGTTAGAACTAGAAGGAATCTCAGAACACAAAAGTGTTAAAACTCAAAAGAGACCTTAGAATACAGAATGTGAAATCTAAAAGGAACTTTAGAACATATATGGTAGACTAGAAAGAGATTAGAACCCAGAATATTAGAGCCTGGAAGAACCTCAGAATATTGAAAATAGATTGAGAGATTGAAATGAGAGAAAGGCAGATTAAAGCAACTCTGAGGTTCTACCTCATAGTTGCCATATGGCCAAAAATGACAAAAAAGGAAAATGACAATTGTTGGAGGGGCTGCAGGAAAACAGGCACCCTAATGCACTGTTAGTGGAGCTGGGGATTGATCCCAGCCATTTTGGAAAGCAATTTAGAGCTGTGCCCAAAAAAATCACTAAACTATTGCATGCCCTTTACCCAATGATACAACTGCTTAAGCCTATAACCCCAAGAGAACAAAGGAATAGGAAAAGGACCAACATGTACAAAATGTTTATAATAGTCCTTTCAGTCCATCAAGTGGGGAATGGCTAAACAAATTATGGTATACTAACATAATGGAATATTATTGTGCTCTAAGAAATGAACAAAAACATGTTTTTGGAGAAACCTTGGGGAGATTTATATGGATTGCTAAAGAGACAAGTGAGCAGAACTAAGAAAACAATTTATACTCTAACATCAACACTGTGAAAACAATTTTGAAGACTTCAGAACTCTGAATGATGCAGTCATGATTCCAGAGGACTGATGATGAGGCATTCTACCCACCTCCTGATTGGATTAATATGCAGAGTAAGACACACATTTTTGGACATGGCCTAAAAAATTCAATTAAATTAATTCAGAATTTTTTTTTAAAGATAAAGCTTAGAATATAAAATATAGAGAGAATATAGAATGTTAGAGCATCTAGGAACCTCAGAATACGGAAAAATATTAGAGCTCAATGGGATCTTAGAACAAAGAACATTACAACTCAAAGGAATCTTAGAACATAGAATGGTGAAGCTGGAAGTAACATTATAATGTTAGAGCTGAGGAGAAGGTCAGAGCCTAGAATGTCAAAGCTCAAAAGGAATTTACAAAGTCATTGAGTCCAACCTCATCGTTTTACAAGGGAGCAAAGTAACATGCAGAGGAAGGCAATGACTTGGTCACATCCCACCACTAAGCGGCAGTGCTGAGACCCACCCCCCCAGAGCTCATTCGGCCGCAATGCACTGCCAAGCACCCTACTTACTGCATTCCAACAACTCAGCTCTGCAAACTGCATGGGTTATGTGTTTGTAGATTTCTCTCCCCATATAAAGCAAGTGTTTATCAAGTTCACAAGACCTTTTTGTATCTTCTTAAAAGCTCTGGATTTTCTGGAGGTTTCACTTTCCACAGCAGCCATATCACTAAGGAAACAGCAACAAGTTCCACTCGTCTGAAGGAAAACGTCCCTAGCATTTTTCTTCTAGTTACCACCTAGAACATCAAAATGCAACATTTTTAGGGCATGAATGAAATTATGACCATTGTATCTCCCTTTTTTCATGCATACATCCTTTTTTCCAACCAGATTATAACCTTTCCAAGGTCAAGAACTGTACTTATCCATAAAAATCATAGAATGCTATCATTAGAAGAGACCTTAGAACATAGAATGTTATGGCTGGGAGGGACTTTAAAACAGAGGATGTTAAGGCTAGAATCAATGAGATAATATCTATAAAGCACTTACTGACTGACACGGTATATGCACTTAATAAATGCTTATTCCCTTATTCCTAATTTAAGGAACTTAAAGGCCCAGAACACTGCACAGCCACCCATATTCACTCAAAAGAATCTGGCCTAATTAGCCACATAGGAAACAAGTGAATGAAGAATGCCCATTGTGCAAACAATGATATTCAGTTAGCTAGGGTTTTGTGATATTCTACTGGGCTATATTATTTATGTTCATTTATAATTAATGTAAGATAATTGGATATATTGTTTATATTAATTTATTATATATTTATATCCATTTACTATAATATATTTTATAGTGATATTATTCTATTGGTTATATTACATGTCATATATTATATATTTTGATTTAGTACTAAACTCATTGCAGAGTGACATTGGCTGGGCAAAATTCTGTGGCCCATGCCATTCTAAGAATTTGTGGAGTTGAATGGAATTGAATCATTATTTGTTTAATGTTTATATGTCTACATGAGAAGATGATACTTGTAACTCCCAAGAACATTATCATTTATTAGGGCAGTTAGAAGGAGTATACATAGGCAGAGGGCATGGTTGTGAACTGGCTATGACAGGACAATATAAAAAAATACAATTAAGGGGTGAGAAAAAGGGATGCACTAAAAGAAAGGGGAAGGGAGAAGAAGAATAAGGTAAATTAGCTAATAAAAGAGGCACAAAAGCTTTTATGGTGGAAGGAAAGATGGGTGGGGGTGGGGGGGAGGGGTGGGATGGGCAACATTTGAACCTTACCTTCATCAGAACTGGCTGAAAAAGGGAATAACATACATACTCACTTGGGTGTAGAAATCTATCTTACCCTACAGGGTAGTAGGAGGGAAAGGGGATGGCATGGGAGGGAGGGGAGGTTAGATTGGGGAAGGTGGTGGTCAGAAGCAAAACACATTTCAGAAGGGACAGGGTGAAAAGAAAGAAAGTAGGATGAACAGGAGGGGAAATAGGATGGAAGAAAATACACAGTTAGTAATCATAACTGAATGTGAATGGCATGAACTCACCCATAAAACAGAAGCAGATAGCAGAGTGGATTAAAAAACAGAATCCTACTATGCGTTGTTTGTAAGAAACATACTTGAAACAGAGGAAGATACACAGAGTAAAGGTAAGAGAATAGAACAGAATCTATTAGGTTTCAGCTGAGATTTTCAAAAAGCAGGAATAGCAATCATAATCTCAGACAAAGTAAAAGCAAAAATAGATCAAATTAAAAGAGATAAGCAGGAAAACTACATTTCACTAAAATATGCCATAAACAAAGAAATAATATCAATACTAAATACATATATAACAAATGGGATAGCATACAAATTACATTAAATTTAAAAGGTTTTACACAAACAAAACCAACATGGACAAAATTAAAAGGAACACAGAAAACTGGGGGAAAATTTTACAGCAAGTTTCACTGAAAAAGGCTTCATTTCTCAACTAATTAAAGAACTGAATCAAATTTATAAAGATAAGAGGCATTCCCCAATTGATAAATTGGTCAAAGGATATGGATAGGCAGTTTTCAGACAAAGAAATCAAAGCTATCTACAATCATATAAAAAATACTCTAAATCACTATTGATTAGGGAAATGCACATTAAAACTCCTCTGAGGTACCACCTCACACCTATCAGATTGGCTAATATGACAGAAAAGGAATGACAAATGCTGGTTGGAATGTGGAAAAATTGGGACACTAAATGCACTGCTGGTGCTCTCCATTCTGGAGAGCAATTTGGAACTACACCCAAAGGGCTATAAAACTGTCATACCCTTTGAGGCAGCAAACCACACATAGGTCTGTCTCCCAAAGCGATTTTTTTTAAAAAGGAAAAATACCTTGTACAAAAATATTTGTAGCAGCTCTTTTTGTGGTGGCAAAGAATTGGAAATTGAGGGGATGCCCATCAACTGAGGAACGGCAGAACAAGTTGTGGTCTATGATTGTGATGGAATACTATTGTGCTATAGGAAATGATGAAGAGGGTGCTCTCAGAAAAATCTGGAAAGACTTACATGAACTGATACAAAGTGAAGTGAGCAGAACCAGAAGAACATTGTACATGATAGCAGCATTGTACAATGATCAACTGTGAATGACTTAGCTATTCTCAGCAATATGGTGATCTATGACAATTATGAAAGATTTATGATAAAACACGTTGCCTACCTCCAGAGAAAAAACTGACAGAGTCTGAACGCAAATTGAAGCATGCCTTTTTTTTTTTACTTCTTTATTTTTCATGGGGGGGAGGGTCGGCCTATGTTTTCTTTCACAATATAGGTAATATAGAAATGTTGCGCATTACTGTACATGTCAAATTGCTTGCCTTCTCGAAAAGTAGGGAGAGGAAAGAGGGAAGGGAAAGAATTAGGAACTTACATTTTTTTAAATGTTAAAAATTGGTTTGTATGTAATTTTAAAAATTAAATATATCTCTGTCTCTTAAAAAAAAGGATGAATCTACAAACACAGCTGGACTTGATGTTTTGCTTATATTTGTCTCATATCATCACCAACTAATCATCAAAGATGTTACTGTCTATGAATACTTGACAACAAACAGAAGTGGTGCCAAACCATTCAAAGCTGATTAACTCTTTTGAATCTTATGGTTTATCCTGAAACAACTGGGTTGACATTTGTACTGTTGGTCAAAGGCAATGGTGGGTCAAACTGCTGACCTCTTAGCCCAGGTGAAGGTCATGGCACCAAACCGTTCTAGCAGTCATCATATTCTTTGCCAGTTTCATTGAAGACTGTCCTCGACAAATCAATAAAATTATTAATTTTATTAAATCTCAAAGCTTGAGTACATGTCTTTTTAAATGTTCTGCATCATGAATCAGTTCTGCTGCATACTAACATACAATGGTCATTTTGAAGGAAAGCCTACGTGGGATTGTTTGAGTGGAGAGCTATCAAACTGTCCAGGGCAGAAAGAGGCTGAACAGGCCCAAAAAACCATTTTGTACTTTTCTTTGTTTTATGGGTTGTCATGGCCCAGGAATTCATCACCGAATGGCCAGACAACTGGAGAGCAGCTCCTCTTCACTCAGCTAGGCTGGCATTTGGAGAGCACGCATCATCTGCTCTCAAGGTTGTTCTGTTTTAGAAACATTAATTCACGTTTTCCTTACTAGCCATAAACCTGTCCCTAGGATTAAAACCCCATCCTTTTATACTTGCTAAAACAGTGGAGGTTACTTGTTCTTGAGTTATCATTTTTATTACTGCCAACAGAGCTTTAGGCTAAGAACACTGCGTCCTAACTATGACATGCTGGGAGAACACTGGAAACTGCCTAGGGTCACTTCTCCCTTTGTGCTTATGAAATTAGACTTATCGTTGCCCAAGGGTAAAGATTTTCTTTTTTTCCTTACATTTAGCAAAACTTTCATTTCTATATATGGACTAGTGATTTTTTTTTCTTTTTCCTCTGAAAGGCTAAGGAATAGCTGCCTAATTCTGTCCCACAAGTAACTATCCCATGATAACTCTTAAAATGTGAGTAGATCCAAGATAACATGTCTAGAGACAAAACACTTTAAGTGGGTTCTCCCTCCTAGTCACAGAGCTGGGAAGGATAATGAAACACAGAATACTATTACTAGGAGAAACCTTAGAGATCATCTGGTCCAAGATCCTTATTTTATAGATTATGAAACAGCCATGGTCACTAAGTGGATGAGATAGGATAATAGAATCGTAGACCTGGAGCCAGAAGGCACAGTATATATAGGTCATCTGGCCCAACCCCTCATTTTTCAGATGAGGAAACTTGGGTCTTGGGAGATGAAGTGACTTGCCCAGGGTTACACACAGAGTCGGTGGCAGGGACAATCTTCAACCCTCAGTCTGGCTGATACCAAGTTCAACACTCTAAGCTAACACTCTAATTCTATCCAGTTCACCACCCTAGAATCCATATCTCCAGCAGGGTTCATTCCAATACCCCACACTCCCTTCCAAGTCAGATGGGTCCTAAGAAATAAAGTGGAAATTATATTGCTACTTTAAATATTTTTACCCAAAATTTTAAAAACAAATGTTAAAAAAAATTGTTTCACATGCAACTGGGAAATAAGATATACAGGCAATGGGGTATAGAAATCTATCCTGCCCTACAGGAAAATTGAAGGGGAGGGGGATAAGACAAGGGTGGGGAGAGATAGAAGGGAGGGCAGGTTAGGGAAGGAGTATTCAGAATGCATGCCATCTTGGAGTGGGGGGAGGGATGAGATGGGGAGAAAACTTGGAACTCAAAATCTTGTGGAAGTGAATGTTGAAAACTAAAAATTAATTAATTAATTAAAAAATCAAAAGGCATCAATAAAACTATTTTTAAAAAATAAAAAATGTATTTTTTTTATTAAGTCTCTCTCAGAAAATGAGATTATGCTGCTGCAGGTAAGAATTAGACAATGAGGAAGACCCTCATCTATAAAATGAAGGCTTGGACTCGATGACCATGAAGGGCCTCCTGTTAGGTCTAAGTCCTATGCTCCACCTACATTCACCGCCTCAATGGGGATGAGATAAGAAATTTCTTCTCTGAGAACTCCCAACTAAGGTCCAAAGTTGGAGGTGTCAGGGAGAACATATCCTAAAAGGGTTATCAAAAACCAAAAAGGGAGATGCTTGTTCAAACCTTTCCACA